ATCATTTTTCCAAGTTACCGTGCAAAATTGTCACAGTTTGAACTTAATCAAAGGACACATTGCTTTATGGCCTTTTGTTGTTTTTCTGCGCTGATCCCACGTGGCTCTTTTTGGGCAAAGGGCAACCTAAAGGGTTGCCGTGGTGATTTGCACTTGACAGAGGATGGGGAAATTGGAAAACAGAGTGCTACACGGGTGCTGTCCTTTTGATTCAAGTTCCTCTGCCTCTTCTCTCCATTCTCATGCCATACAAGTCACTCAGCTGATGCCCGTTTTGAAATTCTCCTTTTCCTCCACTGTTTGCTGCAGGGACAGGTGGCTGTTCCACTCCTCTGTAAAAGCTCATCCTTCATTAAGGTAACTGTGTGCTGTGCTGGTGTGGTGTTAGTCCCCTGTTGTCTGCAGATCTGTGTTTCCCTGGGTATCGAAGTTTTGCCGTGTTTCCCCAGTTGTGCCCGTGTTGTCTATCTTGTGTCCTCTGTTTGACTATAAGTTTCATGGGTCCCGATGAACTATGTTGCTGTTGTTAGGTCAGATAGTAATCCTTCCCGGCGCCATGCTAGCCTTTGCCTTGCAATTAACAAGATTAAAAAAAAAAAAAAAACTTTCTAGTTGGCTAAGAGGAAGTTATAATAACACACTTAATTTTATATAGCGCCTTTAAAGGTGGCTTCTCAAAGCCCTTAGTGTAAATGAAGAAGTGTAAAAGATCCACAGGCTTGGAGCTCTTAATCTTAGGCACAGTATTTTAGTAATAAAAACGAGTAGCAAAAATATGCCACCACTGATTCAGGCATTTATTCTGGCTAATCATCAGTTTTTGTGATTAGCTCAATTGTCATTCATTTTGTGTTCTGAAGTGAAGAATTACCAGGTTATTTTCCTCCTCTGTTTATTGATTAAAAACCAAAAAACGGATTCCTCGTCTTTATTTTTCCAATCATTCTCCTCAGACGTACTGGTCTCTTAAGCAGCACTGCATTTCACCACTTACTGCACCTCTGTAAGCCTGCTGTCTCCAGCTCTGAAGACTGTGCCTTAGAGTCCAGAATTACTGTGAAGAAGCAGAAAGAGATTTCAGCAAATGTTGGTGTGCACTAAATCTAGGTCAGCCTTCAGGGATGTTTGTCAATGGAAGATGCCTGGCATGTCTCCTGAAAGATTCTCCACAGGCATCCATATTTTCCCAAATCCTACAAAATATTCCTCAACTCTTATCTGCTTGACACTTTTTTGAATTAACCAGCACAGAACCTATCTGACATCAATGCTGCCACTGTCAAATAAAAAGCTACAGATAAAATACAATAAGAGCTTACAATTTGTAAAACGCAAGCAGATTGAAATGTCTTGTTTTGTATTCTCACGGAGATACAGCTGTAGCTAGGTTTTTGTAGATTTATTAAACTGCATATTTGCATCCAGATAAATGAATAAAGTAAACACTTTTTATGCTGATTGTGTTTAAAAGAGAGACTACTGATGTCAGTGCAGGAAATTATTTTTACTCTTATTCTTTTGTTTCAGCAGTGTACAGAATGTACTGTAGATGGTCCTTT